ACCGTTCGAAATCTCGAGGGATTGCCCGTGTATCGTGTGCAAAACAGGGGGACGGTGAACTAGGAAATGAACTCGAGAGGAGAGGCCGTTCGAAGGTGGGCAATGGTAAAAAGGAGATGGGGCGAGAGAAAGAGAGATCTCATCAAAACGGCGACACTTAAATTCCCTATTTCGTTTGGCGCTCAATGCAGCTACGAAGTACGGAGTTTGTCGTGTTCGTCGTATACGCCGCCGGTAGCCGACGTTCTCGTCCGTCAGTTAATGTCGTATTCTCGATGTAAAAAGGAGAACGGAGGAAAGCAGCGAGAAGGAAAACGACAGAAAGAACGGCGCGAACGAACGGATCGAGACTTCTTATCGGTACGACTCAGCTACCAGCTGCCAGCTTCGTACACTCGCATCTCGTATGTTCGTTTTCCTTGGAGGACTCATTCTTTCTTCCTCTCTCGGCCCAATCACCCCAATCCTCGCCCTCTTCGTTACTTTTGCCACTTTCGTCGATTTCCCGCATTCCTTTTGCCATTCTTTGCCACTGCTCAATGAAATGTATCCGGTCTTGAAGCGACGGCCGGGAAATGTTAATGGAATCTATTCTGTGTCAAATTGCAAACCGATTGGACGCCCTCGTTGTTATAAGCTGCGGAATAACCGAGCCGTGTCTGTGGAAAATGTGCGACCGGCAAATGCTCTATACGTATACAGCGAGTATTGTCGATTAACGCCACTCCTTTAATTTAATTATTCTTGGTCTCTTGACATTTGTGACCAAGAATTAAAAATTGTGATCACTTTTTTTATGCGTTTTTTGTTTATATTTGAATGTGTCGTGAATGCATAAAATCAAAAGTCTAACGCATTACTCAAACTACTAATGATCGTATAAAGAAATTAATTGAAAGTTTCGAGGATTGACATAGTGCCAAAATTAGACTATTTCATAAGTCTGTGTATTTCACCATGTTAACCATTAGCGACAGTGAAAACGAGCTTGAAAACGTATTTTTCGTTTGTAAATATTGATCCCTGGAATGAAAAGGACAATGACTGGCACATATAGATTATTAGTATAATAATGAATCATATATTTCACGAAAATTAACAAAGAATGATTGATGAATTAGTAGGTAATAAATATCAATTACTGCCCGTGCACCGCAACTAAATTGACACATTCTAAATTGACGTGGTGACAACATTTAGAAGTAATTAACATTAATGTATGAGAAGTAATCGAATACTATTTTTATTCAAATAATCTATTGTACTTTTACATGTATTTGTCACAACCATTAGAGGAATTTAAATATTTTTGCAGTATGCGAACATCTTAGAAACTGTTGGTGACGAAACACTTTTCAATGGAATCAGTAGAACGAGTCACTGAAAAGGCATACATCATTTGAAACCATTCGCCACAAAAAAGTATTTCTATATGATTATCATACCTAGTGCGAGATTTGTTATCTAACCATTCTCCATAAATTCATTTACTAGATTCGCAAGAAAATAATTTTCTTTTGATATATTTAGGACCACTAAAGAGATGTGATATCCTCTAAAAGACATCTTTCGATCTCTAAGTAGTCCTCTTTGAGAAGTGAACCAAATTTAATTTGAATAGTAAATGATAAATAAAACCAGTCTATTTATTTCCATTATACAATTACATTTATATTAGCTCTTTTTGAAATATTTAATTCTGTACTTTAAATTCTAATGTCTCTTCAACAAGCAACAGACGCACGATAGAAACTTGAATCATGAAGATAAAGATGTTTATCTCTCATACCTTATATAAAATTTGTAGTTAATTAAGATGTTTGGGTATTTCTATCTCCAAGTACCCACGAAAGATGGATCACGTTGATTCTTTCATCATTTCTATTTACGAAGGAGGAGGGAAGAATACTTAGAAGGAGAATGCAATGGTTAATGAAGTTCGCAAATCTCAGTAACAACCGTACGTTGAGGTAATTTTGTCGTTTCCTAATTGTAAAATTTTGTTTGCAAGGGAATTCGATCTGGTTTAACGCTAGACATAGCTTCTCCATTAAACGGAACCGCGCTTGCATTCAACGGCACGAAAAATATCTCACAAGCGCTGGGCTCGTTTAATTCGTTTCCGCGGGTCGAAGCTATTACGCATGGTTATTATGTTTAAGTCCTTGCAAGTTCTCGTTTTACCTTTTTTCTTTGTCCGCTGAACAAAGGAAATTCGAAAGGCACGGTTGGGTGGTTAATTTATGCTGTCCGTCTTGCTAGGTGGTACGTTCTGTCAAGCTGCTAGTCGCGGCAGGAGGTGAGATCAAATTAATAGTCAGACATTTTTCTAAGAGAGAAAGCTAAAGGGGGTGTAAGATAAAAAGGAAAGCAGCGAAAGGGAGACGGAAAGAATACCGATTATAAAACGCTCAGATGGCGTGCAAAGAACGTGAAGGCCTCCGTTGCACGAGACATGAAGCAAGCTCAGGCTTGACTTGCCTGTAAATTGCAGTTTTGTTGCGTGTCTCCTTAGACTTGTACATTTATTACATGGCCGGTAATTCTCATACTGTTGGATTATCGTTTTTTAATCACCCTCATAGACCGACACGTCCGTCAACCTGCAGTATTAACCTTTGCAGTAATAACGTATTTTCAGGTAATCAACTTATAATAGTGACTGAGGCAGTGAACGTAGTTTCATGCAACAATGACCGTAATAAATGATTCCTGATGCTCTACATCAAATTAACGATAAACAGACATTTTCTTTGAATCTATAACAATCGAAGCTTTTCGTGAATACTTCAAACAGTCATAAGATTCATTTTCAATTAATCGCGTTTCCTAACTCTAAAAGAAATCACGTCAAGTTGAAAACGGCAAAACACTGTACACGTCTTTCAAATTGATCCAGATCGAGTCAAATGTGGCTGAATAATCGCCGGCACAATTCTTAGAATTGCGATTACCCATAAAAGGCGCGTGAAGTGTTACATGAGCGGATCTGAGTAATCTGAAAATAATGCGTAACTCATCTGAACGACAAATTAACAAAACCTTTGTATCGACGTACAAAACAGAAAAAGTAAACGAGCCTACGCTGCAGTTGCAGATCCTTCTCACCGAGGAAATGAAATTATCACCGTAGACAGACACAACCTGCATACGTACGCGTATGACGTAACGAAGGCCGAGCACAGGTGGTCACCTGATATTGGTTTTGCTTCTAAATTTTGTGGACACCCCTTATAGATGCAGACGTACCAGACTCGCCACGAAGGGCAATTACCCCACTAAATATTCACAAGTTCATTACGAGCGTAGCTGGACGCGCGTACCCCTCTTTCTCTTCCTTGTGCTTCTTCTCGTCCCTTTCGCTCTTTCCGCGCTTCTCTTCTTCCATCTCGGCTACCACGATGCAAGCAAACCTGCTCCTCGTATATCCAGATTTCAGCCTTTGGTAGTTCGTGTGCCACTACACGCATAGAACTTGCGGGATTCCAGTGCGTGCTTTCTCTACAGGAGCTCATTGTTCGTGGAACCTTAATACCTCAATAATCAAGTGCAGGTGTACAAACGTATGATACCGGAGATTACTTATGCTTAACGCGTGATATGCAAGCAGTAAAAGGACAAGCGAACGTTGTCCTTCTTTTTTCGTGGAAATCTAAATTTTACAAATTTTTTAGTGATCATACTGTTGGCGCGCGAGAACAATGAAGATTCAATTTTCGGAAAGCGTCGTGATTTGGTAGATGCATTATTTTGACTCGTAGTAAGCAAGTTGAAAATATTGTAGCTGTGGTACAAACTGAAGATATACTTGTACCTCCAGAGGAAAATGTTTGGTTCAGAGTGGGGCATACTATGACAGACAAAAAAATGTCATCAAATTATCAAGAGAAGATTAGGATTTTCGGCAGTCACGCCTCACCTTTATATCGTTACGTGTGTCACCCTGTATCCTTTTTCGATCGCAAACTGTCGGTGCAAACTTGGAAACAAAGCAAACGGTAGCTTTCATTGCGCAAGTCTGTCGTGGCGCAGGGTTCTCAAGAAAAAGCTCATAAAAATTTAATAAACGCGCGGCCCGAATGCGACGGTAGTCTTTTTACGGCTTATAAATGCTTCGTTTGACTGAAAACACTTTTCTCGCATCGGAGGTCGTGGGGTAAGCTTGAATTCAGCACCAGACAGTATAGAAACAGTTTCAGCAATGGCACTTCTAGCAGACGAATTGAGTAACACGAGTTTTAATTACTCGCCGTTAGATTACTTTCTGCTAGTTACCTGCCATGATGGGCTACTTAAATAACTGTATCTATGAAATATCTACGTACATCACAGAACTATATTTCCTCCCTAGCGATTCGTGGAAAAGGAATATAATTATGCTTCTAGCGTAATCATAACATGTAAACGATTTTCGTATGAAACTATCCAGTAACTAATTAATAAAATTTCTATTCTGCTACGAAAAAGTTTTGGTGGTAATCAGGGCTTTACAATATGTTTTCTGTATCATATAAACAATGTGTCATATAAACAATTTGTGCTGGAACACCTTCTGTCGTCATCGTGTATCGTCTCTCGGCCGGTTATAAACCACTCTATCCGAGCTCTAACGATTCGAGAACGAATGGCACACTCTCCATACACATTGTTCAAACAATCGTGAATGTTTTTAGCCGTGCAATTTTCGACAGCAAGGAAACGAATCACGGCACGTTCCTCACAAGAACCGGACGCACATGTCAACGATAATTCCAATTTAGATTAACCCAACGCGAGCACTATCGAATTGAACAAAACAAAACTGGGTATACAAACTTAAAAAATTCCACTGAACACAATGAGCGGTCGGTCGTTATCGTAGGTCTACTAGAAGTGGCGTTATAGGGGCGTGGCTATTACTTTCGAAATGTACCTCGTATAATGAAAAATTACCGGAGTTAAAAACAAATTTAATCTGGATTTAATCATATCGCTGATAAGAAACGAATAACCGTCAAGGTAATGATTATGTTTTATTCGCAATTATATTTCTTAACGTACAACCGGACTTGAGACACGATAGGATTTCTATCGCCGTTTAAAACATTTCACAGCTTTTGAAATTTTTATTTGAACAACGCAGTAAGTAAACAGAACAAATACGATCAAGTTAGTGAACAGCAAAGATACAATCATAGCGTATTATCAATTAATAATTCGTATTTATTGAGTTTTCGAAGTTTCAGTAATGAAGTATCTACTTTTTTTTATCAACTACAAAATTTTAGAATACGTACTATATATATTACTAACGCATAGCTTCGTTGTTTTTAAATAAGTAATTGTAACTTCAATTTTGACATTTCTAGAATTATGTAAATTAAAAATATTTCAGTTAAGATTGAATTGCCTTATGACAGATGTAATTGTCATGTTTTATAAAAATAATGTGTTATTTACAGGTAATAGATTAGTCTAATTACTTATAGGTATCTATCAACAAAATTTCAACAAGATGGATGAAAAAAGTATTTGGATTGCACAAGAAACATTTTTAAACAGTCAAGATCAAAATGCAAGAGGTAAAAAGTTGATCCAGTACATTGCCAGTTTATCAGCAACTCTTGGGGCTTTGGCATCTGGCATGGTATTAGCATGGTCTTCTTCTGCTGGTTCTGATGGAGCATCTATACAGGAACTGTATGGCTTTCCAATTTCTGCTGAAGAATTTTCATGGATTGGATCATCACCTGCAATTGGATCCGTAGTGATAAGTATTCCCATTGGAATTCTTACCGACGTGATTGGAAGAAAGTATTCGATGCTCTTGATGGTGGTACCCTTTACTGTAGGTTGGCTGCTCATCATTTTTGCTAATTCCGTCCCCATGTTTTATATTGGAAGATTTATGACAGGTATTTGTGTCGGAACTTTTTGTGCAGTTGCACCACTCTACACAGCCGAAATAGCTGAAAATAGCATTCGTGGACGCCTTGGAAGTTGCTTTCAGTTACTTCTTTCCACAGGCATTTTATTATCGTATGTTTTCGGAACCCTTGTTAATATACGTGATCTGTCTATTATATCTGCTATCGTGCCACTAGTTTTTTTCGGAGTTTTTATGTTCATGCCGGAAACACCAATTTATTACTTGAAGAAAGGTAACAAAGAGTGCGCCAGAAAAAGTTTAATCAGGTTACGAGGCGAACAGTATAATATAGATAATGAATTACAACGTCAGAAAGAGGCATTGGAGGAAACTAAAAATAAAAATGCTTCTTTTCTGACTTCAATTAAATCCAAAGCAACCATAAAAGGTTTTGTAATCGCTTATGGTCTTATGTTTTTCCAACAGTTTAGCGGCATAAATACTGTTATATTTTATGCTAGTGATATCGTTACATCAGCTGGTATTTCTATTACACCTGAAAACTTTAGTATCTTGGTAGGTTTAGTAGGGCTCCTAGGTGTTCTCGTAAGTACTTTGATCGTAGACCATTTAGGTAGAAGATTATTGCTATTAGCATCTATAACATGTTTGTTCTTAACATCTTTCGCACTTGGAGTTTACTTTTACCTTAACGATAATACAGAGGATACGAGCTCAATTGAATGGTTACCTCTAGCTTCTATATCCATATTTCTTACAATGTTTTCCTTGGGTTTTGGTCCTATCCCATGGATGATGACGGGTGAAATTTTTGGGCCAGAAGTAAAAGGTATAGCTGCAAGTAGCACCACTCTTATAAATTGGGCAATGGCTTTCATTATGACGAAATTTTATACTAATTTAAAAGAAGCAATTCATAAGAGTGGTACATTTTGGTTATTTTCTGCTACTAGTGCTATTGGAATTCTCTTTGTATACTTCCTAGTTCCTGAAACAAAAGGCAAATCTCTAGAGGAAATTCAAAGGGAACTTAACGATTCGTGATTATTTTTATTAAATTAAAATATTGTTTATCTATAAGATTAATTTTAAGTTTAAGTTTAATTTGAATTGTATATTTGTATTCGTTAATAGAATTTCAATCAAAACAATTGTTTCAGATACTATTACTTAGATTTACACGGTATTCCAAGAAAACGACCTTCCGCGTAAATCGTGGAATAAGTGCACTCACGAATAATATTGGAATGCAATATTATTAATAACATCCGCGTCACACTATTGTTTTGATTAAGTACAAGATTTATTTCGTTACGTGAAACTCAATGTTGTATTCTTTGCTTATTCCGAATCAGAATCTAGAGAATGAGGGTTTTCGTTGCTAGAATCATTTTTCCCTTAGTCAAGTCGATTCTTTCTCTTGTCATACCTTGATTTTACGATAGTAACTTGGTTGATCGCATTTGTGGTTTTCTTTAAGGTCTATTTACACATATCCGTAACGTGTCAGTTCCGTATCCGTTCAGTTCCGCAATGTTCCATCAGTGTCAGTGATTTTAAATATTCTTCTGTTGTTTTTGAATCAGCATGTTCACACACGTTCGACACTGCTCCGTGACGTTATTGATACGGTACGGATACGGAACTGTCACGTTACGGATATCTGTAAATAGACCTTTAATCGTATCGCGGTACACTGGCGATATAAATAAACAAATGAAATCACAGATACAGAAAGTGTTACGAGTCGTGGTCGAGCAGTCGTGGAGTATAGACGTGTTTAGTGTGACAGTGTTTTGTTTATGTCTACGTGGATTGTGAGTTAATAGTGAATATACCCAGTGATCAAGAAAATGTAGATTAGAGACAAATATTGAGATATAAAATTATTGGTACATAAGAAACAATTCCTTACTACCATCTTGTAGAATATCGTCCTACCCTGTATAGTCCTTTACTTCGACCGTGCGCTTGTATGGTTTGACGTGCATCGAAGGACGTCAAAGTCACTTGTCACGTACGAGCGCGGCCGCTATCGCGTAGCCTATGCTACTGTGGCTGTCCAGCGCGTAGCCTATGCTACTATGGCTGTCTACCGCGACCCTATTCTACTGCGGCCGCCTAGCGCGCAGCTTACATTACCGCGGCCGCTCCACCGGCATACTCGTGCTCTGATTGGTCGGGGTTTTCTGTTAATGTCTCCTTAACGAAGCCACGGACAACATTTTCGCTAAGGAAAAAGTTGTTTCAAATCATCCCCCGAACCACCCCTTTCAAGGACCTTCAACATTTTTGAATGTTGGCAAGAAAGTCATGTCTTTAAAGTAAATTTAAATCCCTTGATTTCAGATGAGAACTGTGGCCTCCAGAATGTACGTAAAACAGCTACGTTCGATGGTGACCTACGATGGGTGGCAGCTGATATCTTCCATATTTTCCGAGGAAATACTTCCTAAAAATTACAATGTTTATTTCCTCCCTTAAATCCCTATTGGAAAATCTTTTATATCGTGTACAATTAAATTTTTAGAGAATTTATATCGTAATCACTTATGATATAGAATCTAATAAAAATGATGTAGCATCCTGTAAAAGTTCATTTCTCACTAGCTTTATGTTTGAAAGGTGTATAGTATAATCAAAATAAGAAATAAAGAAAATACTAACGCAACGTCAGTCGCTTGTCACGTATACTTTACAACTGCATCACTAAGTCTGATGGGTTTTCAGATTAATCAAACTGAAGGGATGAATTTCACGTTATTAAAGTTTTTAATTCGACACGCAGACCAATGTACCCGTTACGTATTACTACGCGCAAGGCCAAAGTCGACGATGACACATCGGGATTGATTTCTGGCATATCGCGTTTTGCGTGGATTTTCGAGAGGATCACACGTCAGCTATCCAATTCGACGAGGTCCCCGATTAAAATTCGATCGGTTATCATCGGGATGTCGTGTGATATTCCGGCAGAGTTTTATGTACGAGACCGATAACAATCCGTTGGATTATTGAAACCCACGCATCGATTGATCGACAGCCACGATATCAGGAATTGCTGTGCCCTCCACACGCGTTAGCTTGGATGGTGAACGTGTCACGTTCACACTAGCAAGATGGGGCTACGTGCACTGCCAACTTTCGAAATTTCCGAGCATCGATCCTTTAGTCAAGGCGAACCAGTAAATTTGTCGATAAAGAATGGATTGTCTTACGGTTTAATATATTATTTGTCAGTTTATGTCGTTCCTCTCATAATCAAGAAATGACTAAAGGAAGAAAAACAATTTGTACAGTATTATACCTTTCATATTCTTTTTTACAAATTCTATAAGTTCTACAAGTATTCTACAAGTTTATAAAGTCATATATATCAAGACACTGCACTAATTAATGCACTATTAATATAAATACAATTATAATTAAAAATATAAAAATAAATGTAAATATAAAATATATTATTGACTCCTTTTCATAAATTTTCTGTCATTTTTGTCTCTATTTTACAGTTACCAACTTACACGATAATTTTAAACAATTTTTTCAAGTACACAAAGGACTGGTTTATTGTTCTGAGCAGGAAAAGTGGTTTCTATTTGATTTTTATCTAATGAAAGTGTGTTAATCGAAATTGTATTTGAAGATATGTAGAACTATTAAAGATTACAAAGCAATCGTATGTAATAAACTGATAAGGTCTGTTATCTCCGAAACGTATTCTTCGTGAAGCAAAGTTTGGAAATCTAATCTTTCGTATTGCATAGTACGTTAACATCATTCTGATACAGGCAAAGGTTAAATTTAAAGCTGATAGAAACACCTTACGTATATCGTAGCGTAGTGTCTTATATGTTATATACAGTCAGAGTAAAATCGAAACTGAATATGCAAAGAAGTTTATGTGTCCATTTTTACAATGCACGGAGCATTCGTAGCCTCATAATTCTATCTTCGGCTTTATTAAGATATTGCACAGATGCAAAAGAAGGCACCAAGGTGAGTGTACAGAAAAGGTCGAAAGAGACTCGTTTTCTCTTTCTATGTCTCTTTCCCTCTTTCTCAGTCGATCTGGATTTACGATATTGGTTGCAACACCACCTGAACCCAGCCCACCCCGCTTTAAACCATTTCAAACCGGTTACCTTACTCCGTAAGCACGTTAGATCGGCTTCCTTTATTTATTTCCACATTTTGTATTTTCCCTTCCGTTCTGAACGCGTTTGTCCGTTACCACGAGTAGATTTCCCAGAATAAGTTATGAGCATCCTTTATAACATCGTTGTATTACTGACAGAAAGAAAATGGCATCCACTGTACCATGTTTGCGGCAATATGGTTTCAAAATTGCAAAACTGTACATGCCATCGCTTAAACCTTCGCTAAAGTTATCCATTCGAATGATCATATGAAAAAAATATTGTGTTTAAATTTATAATTTATAATTTGGTAACCTATTCAATATTGACTTCTTTATTATAAGTACATGGTAAGTTTTTAATTACATTGCTATAAGATTTCTTTTATTGATTGTAAAATTTTTACTATATATAACATAATGCTGAAACTATATGTATATAACTATAGTAACTATATTATATAAAAACTAACTTCATTTTGAATAGAACTCGAGTTTAAGAAAAAACAAAAATATTTATGTACTCTATAAACAACGCATATTCCTTTGATGCAAGTTTAAACTTGTTTAACATGCAGCTTCACTGGAATTAGTTTTTAGATAACTACGACTATGTTACACCTCCAAGGTGGTGTAAACCCTTGGGATATAAATTTCTCTAGCACGTGCACGCAATACTTACGTTCACGTGTGCGTTTACGCGTTTGCATTCCTCCACACAGGTACTTGATGCATTTCTATAACAGCTAAGGTGAATTTCCAATGGGGGAATTTATGTACCGGCAGATAGCAAGGACAATATAAATGAGGTTTTAAGTATACCTATCGCGAGCTTGTGTCGGGAGCGTGCGTGTGGGCCTGCTCTCCCTATTAAGCATATTTTCTATTTTCCACGACGAAAGGGACGCGATAAATAATCGACGCATAAATCTCGTCGCGTGGCACGGACGTATTCGATCGTTTAAAACGGGAGAGGGCAACCGCGCTATTATTTTCTCAGCTCACTCCGACGACGGATTTTCTCGGGAAATTCCCGGCCTTCGCCTACCTTCCTTTCCCAAACTAGAAAATTTCTCTGATCATTATGAATTCTTAACGACAGAAATGACTTTTCCATTGGAGGTAATGAACGATAAAGTGCACAGAAGTGGTTCGGAAGTAGCTTCGATTTCAGAATATGTTTGTATAGTTCTTTGCGAAGATTGTTGAATTTTATTCAAAATAATGCAATTTTTAGCATGAGAAACCCATGCTACGAATTACAATACTTGAATCCTTGCCAATTTGAATGTTGATCCATTTGTGAGCCTGGAAATAATATATAAAAAATGTAGTGGTAAGTTTAGTCAAAAGATTCCAGGTAAATTTTAGTATGTTTCGCTCAAATGATAGAAATAACACGTGTATTGAAACATCAAGAATAATTATTCAGGCCATTAGTAATCGTAGCTGCTTTATTTTCCACCTTTATCAACAACGACTTTTACCATTCAGCAGAACGAAATTCAAACTTATAATAAATAATATTGACATAGCGAGTGTTGAAAACATAAAGTATATTTCGAAGTTTGTCGATAGCTTAAATTGTATTCTCGTTAAAAGCGGTTGAAACTGTGAAAACGTAATGGTTGCTTTTAGCATTTACGTTTCATATGCGACGTTCGAATGCCAAAAATCGTACATAATGTACGTACCGCTTCGGTACACACCGCTCATAATAAATTAAGAGGCTTTCAGCTTCCGCGGCCATTAACAACAAAGGGTAAACAAAGCGATATGCGAATATAATTTAATACGTACGCGAACGCGCATATTCCCTGGTGCCAGGATCGAAACATTAACTCGTGCAAAAACGTGAGAATATATTGCGTAACACATGCAAGATATGGAAATTAGAGGACGCTGG